GTTGCTGTGAGCTAAGACAGCACAGCCCTCTACCAAGGGTGACAAAGTGAGACTCTGTCTCACAACAAAACAAAACAAAAAAACTCCGAGGTTCTAGGCATTAGCATCTTCCTTGCTTGCTCCTCTTCCTGCAGGGGTGCTAGTGAGCCAACCGTTGATGGCTTTTGGGGGCCATCAGAGTCCACCAGGTTGGGTCCTAGTGACTGAAGATTTGATCAGTATCTTGGATTTTTTAATTCTAGATTTGGCATTCTACACTGAAGTCAGCATGGGTGTTTTCCAACTCCTGATGAAAAAGAAGGAACTTATTCCTTTGGCACTGTTCATGACTATTGCTGTGGGCAGAGCCTTGTCGTTTTGCTGTATATTGCCTTTGGAAAACAGACATGATTATTGATAGAAAAAGAAATCCACAACCTTGGGAAACTATGGATCCTAGTGTACCTCAAAAGCTTGTAACAATCAACCAACAATGGAAACCTATTAAAGAGTTGCAGAAGACCTGAAGAACAATCAAATGACCAGTCCTCACTTCTTTTTTCCAAAGAATACTCTATGAATCTAGTGGAAACATTTCTGCACAAACTAGATTATGGATACCAGCATGCGGAAATGCTTCTGCTACATTTTTAGAGTTTGCCTACGTATTCTGGACTCTAGATAAGGAATTAAAGGTAGTGCACCATAACCAAGTAGTGCAAAAATAAGTTTCTATGTTTATTTTCCTGTTGTAAATTTGAATCTTGGATATTGAAATTGCTATGTTTATGATATCTGAATGTTTTTCTTAAAATGCATAAAGATTTGTAAATTAGCTTGTCATCTGTAATAAAATACCATTAATGGGGAAAAAAAGTTGCTCAATAGTCATTTAGAAGTTTATTTGGGAAAATTAGAGAAAAAAAGCTGTCACAGGAGACTTGAAATAGATAAATGTTTTATAGTCTTTTTAAAAAAGAAACAAAAGGATTCCAGAATAAAAAGTAATCTGCTTATTACTAGCAAAATTGAATCAAGCAATTACCAATTGTTTATAATAACCACTACAACCAGACAGGCTGGAGTATTAATTAGAAATAGAAGGCACTTGCAAGAACCATCACAGTTCACTGAAACATTCTCATGGGGTTTTAAGATACCTTTGCCTTTCATTATAAGCCAGTTCAAATAGTTTTTAAAACTTGTGTATTAATACAATAAATAGCTTATAATCAATACAATTTAATAACTAAATAGGTAATGAAAAAGTAGTTAGGCTTGGTGCCTATAGCTCTGTGGCTAGGGCGCCAGCCACATACATGGGGGCTGGCGGGCTTGAACCCAGCCGGGGCCTGCCAAACAACAATGACAACTACAACAAAAAAATAGCTGGGCATTGTGGCAGGTACCTGTAGTC